CGCGTGAGGAGCCCGAGGAAGTCGTCGAAGGCGTCGTGTGAGATCCCCTCCGAGAGGACGTAGCCGACGGCGGCGACGGACCTCGCCGAGGCCGCGCGTTGCGCGAAAACGGATTCGATCCGCGGGACCACCTTCGCGGCCTCCAGGGGATCCCCGAAGCGGACGAACGGCGCCACGTCGCCCGCGGCCGGCGGCCCCGCGCTCGAGGCCGCCACCACGCCAAGCAGCACCCGCTCTAAATCAAACAGGAGCTCCTTCGGCGTCCGCGCCGCCGCGTCGCGGTGGGATTGCCGCAGCTGATGCAAGACCATCCCTTGAATCCGCGAAAGCTGCGCGACGGCCGCGCGATCAAAGGACGGATTCGCACAAATCCTCTGACTCTCACGTTCGTAGATCACCACGGGGGCCGTGAACTTCTCCTTGAATTCGACAATGGAGCGTAGTTCGGACTCCGGACGTAGCGGAGGGGTGGTTGAAGAGATAACGGAATTCGCTTGAGCCTGGCTAACATCCATAGTCTCCTGTGTAAGACGGGAAACATCCGCAACCGTTGGGAGCTGGCTCTCCGTGGTTGCAGCATCGGGAGCTACCTCCTCCACCTTCGACGCTGCAGCGGGTGGAGGATTTGCTTTCCGCTGACTGCCCTTACGATCCGAACCGCTGCCGGAGCGTTTGGGGGGGCTATTCTTCTTCGATCGATACATGGAGCTTCACTTTCCCCTCTATTTAGTTACTTCTCTATTACGGTTTTCCCACTGTTTACCCGTGGCTTATGGGGGATGGCCGTTAATCTATCGAATATGAAAAGAATAATAATAACAAACGCCACACACCAAGACAACTGCTTAAAGGTGGCAATAAACAGAACTATAGGTATTCTTCGATAATCCAATCACCCACTATAGGTCTTTAAGGAAGCTAGATAAGGTAAAAGAGGATGAAAAACAAAAGGCAAATGAGAACGGATTCAAACTGTTGATTGTGAAATTTGAGGCCCTCCACCGAGCCTCTGGCTTTCAAGATACTCTCGGACTCCATCCTATCCAGAATAATTCTTAAACGCATTTTAGACGCACACTCTATTCCTTTTTCTCCCAATAGCCAGCCCCATCTACACGCTCACCCCGTGTAAGCCCTTTTGGGGGCATCTGCTAGTCGTTTTAGCCCTCTCAGCTATGGCTCAAATTCCTTGAATCGATCCTTCTGATTCGAGGATCTCGAAGAGTTAGAGGTTACTCGCATTGTTTAGTATTATTATTTTTGTTACGCTTAAAATCATCCCCGTTAGCACGGTCCACTCCCTAGAGTGCTGGCGTAGGGATCAGCCTCTACAGCCGGCCTACGGATCAATAGGGATGTTGCTCTCAGCGAATCGTTTATACGCTCGTCGCTCCTCCGCCTGCTTTTTCCTAGATAATTTGTACAAATCCTCCTTTGGACGAAAACTATTATCTCTCAGCCGCAAATCAAGCAAAGGGAGCTCGGTGAAGCCAAATTCTTCCGCGACCTTTTCAAGGTTCAGTTGCTTTTCATCGTACACATCACGTGGCCCCACTCCGCTATACGCCTTCATGGTAGTCTTATACGCCTGAAAGGCCGAATTTTGAATGGGAAAAAGTTTCTTATTCAATGATTTTAGCTTTTCAGCGGCTAAGCGATAGCTGGCCTGAGAGGGTCGGTGCGCTAGCGGAGTGTAAGTCAGGTTGAGGGCCTCCCCCGTCAGGCGGAGATGTCGCAGCATCCCCTTCACCTCATTCGGCCGAAGCAGGAGGAGGAGATGGCGATAGGCAGGTACTTCTTTTAACCTCCCCGCCTCGGTGATGCGACTTTCGTCAAGCGATAAAGCGCTGCAATCCCCCTCTCCCTCCGGACGCGGTGCTTTTTCCTTAGGCCGTCGCAAGGCGCCGTCGCGCTCCCCTGAATCCGATTTCCCCCCACCGCTTCTCGCGCCGCCCTGCGAGACGGCCGTTGCCCGCCACCCTGGTGGTGCGAGCGCTTTTCGTACAAACTGCCCAAAGTTCGGCACGTCCGGGACGATGTCGTACGACAAGAAGATCGTGCCCGATGTGGGAACGAGGCCAAAGCAGGAGAAGAGCACCGCCGCCGTCGGTGAAGTCCTCGTCGTGGTGGAGTCGGCAGGGGTTTCCGCGCGATCGCGCACAATCTGATCAAACCGACGGCAAAGCAAATCCTGCTGCGCCGCGGACGCGACCGACGTGTAGACGCCCTCGCCTTCGTAATCCGTGAGCAGCTCCACGTGCGCGGGCAGGTCCTTTTGCTGGTGCATAAAATGGTAGAAAACGTCGTACATAAACCCACACCCCTCCTTCGTGGCGAAGTGCACCACCAACCCCTGGTGCACCGAAAGCGCCCTCACGAGGGCGATCAAAAACCCGAACCGGTCGAGCCCCGTCGCGACGCAGTAGTACACCTCCGTGGCGGCAGGGGGGGGAAGGGGAAGGGGGTCCTCCTTTTCCTTTCCCTCCCTCCCCTCCCCCTTCGCGAGCGGCGTCGCGCGCGGAGGGGCGACGGGCGGGGTGGTGAGGGGTTCGAGGGCCGCGGCGAGGGCGAGGCGCTCCCCGTGGAGGGAAATCACGCAGGTCGT